TGTGCCCCCCATCTCCTGAGTGCCATCTCTTTCTTGGGCCACGCTACTCACTTATAGAGAAGACCCTCGGCCTTCAAAATCCAGAGTGGGCCCTCCCTCGTTGACACATTCACCTCCCAGGCCCACCTCTTGTCCCTTCATCCGCCCCCCTGGACAGGGAAGCCTCTCCAAAGAGTTGCCTGCCTGTTGCCTCCAATCCGACCTGCCATTCAAATCTCGCTGTCATTTAAACCGCCCTTTGTCCCAAATGCTCTGGGGTAAGGTGATGGCGACTCTCCATGCTGTCACTCACTCAGGCTCTGGGCAGCACCCCATAGAGTTGCCAACTCCCTGCATCTGGTTTTCTTTCCAGTTTGCTGGACTTTCCCTTTTGGGTCATGGTCATTTATTTTATATGATTTTGCATAATTGTCATTATTATTATTTTTGAGTAGGAGTCTCACTCTGTCACCCAGGCTGGAGTGCAGTGACATGCTTACAGCCACCGCAGCCTCAACCAGCTGGGCTCAGGTGATCTTTCTGCCAAGGTCTCCCAAGTAGCCAGAACCACAGGTGCATGACATGACACCTGACTAATTTTTTTATCTATTGTAGACATGAGGTCTTGAAAAGTTGCCCAGGCTGGTCTCAAACCCCTGGACTCCGGCAATCCTCTTGCCTCCGCCTCCCAAAAGCTGGGATTACAGGCATGAGTCACCGCACTCAATTATTTTGCTTAATTATTACATATACTTCTCACCACTGCTAATCAAGAAGCAGCACAAAAGCAGAAACTTTATTCATGCTATTCACTATTGTGACATAATTTATAAACATTAAAATTCACACAGTTTAGCGTATAGTTCAATGAATTTTCATAAATTTAACAAGTTGTACAGTTGTCACCATAATCAGTTTTAGAATATTTTTCCTTACTCAAGTAAAGTCCTTCACACCCATATATGGTTATTCTAGTCTTACCCCCAGCCTCAGGCAACCACAAACTTATTTACATTTGCCTTTTATAGATATTTCATACAAAAGGAGCCATACGACATGTGGTCTTCTGTGTCTGGCTTCTTTCTGTTACCATAATGTTTCTGAGGTTCACACGTGTAACATGTGTCAGTATTTCATTCCTTTTTTTATTGTTTTATGGTGTTCTATTGTATGAGTAGGCCACATTTTATTTCTCTGTTCATCGGCTGACGGATGTGTGGGATGTTTCCAGTTTCCAGCTATTACGGCGACGCTGCTATGAACATTCATGAGCAAGTCCTTACGGGGACACATTTTCGTTTCTCTTGAGTAAACAGCTAGGAGTAAAATTGCTCAGCCATATGGTAAATTTATGTTTGACTTTTTAAGAGGATGCCACACTGTTTTCTTTTTTTTTTTTGAGTTGGAGTCTCACTCGGTCGCCCAGACTGGAGTGCAGTGGCCGTTCCTGGCCACCGCAGCCTCGACCCGCTGGGCTCCGGCGATCCTTCCGCCTCAGCCTTCCGAGTAGCCGGAATTACAGGCATGCGCTACTACGCCCGGCTGATTTTTTGATTTATTGTAGAGATGAGGTCTCGCTGCCCAGGCGGGTCTCGAACCCGCGGGCTCAGGCAATCTACTCACCTCAGCTTCCCAAAGGCGCGCGATTACAGGCTGAGCCACCGAGCCCGGCCAAATTGTTTTCTAAAGTGGACGTACAATTTACACTCCCATCGGCCAACATTTCTTACTTCTGTCTGTGAAGTGGTATTGCATTCTGATTTGCATTTTCCCTAATGACTAATGAACGGAGCACTTTCTCTTGTGCGTTTTAGCCATTAGTATGTCTTTTGTGGTGATACATCTATTCAAATCTTGGGTTCTTTTTTAAATTGGATTTTCTTCATTTTTGAGTTCTGAGAGATGTTAGTATGTTCTGGATACCGGTCCTGTATCAGATATATGACTAACAAATATTTCCCCTAGTTTGCAGCTGTCTTTTCATTTTTTTAATGGTGTCTTTTGAAATACAAAGACTTTTCATTGTAATGAAGTCTAACTTACAATTTCCTCTTTTATGGATAATGCATTTGATGTCATAGCAGAAAATCTTTGCCTAGCCCAAGGTCTAGAAAATGTCCTGTTTGTCTCCAAACGTTTTATAGTTTTGACTCTTACATTTAGGTATCTGAATTATTTTAAGCCAACTTTTCTATGTACAGCGTGAGGTAACAGTCTATGCTCATCTTTTTGCAGGTGGATAGCCCAAAACCATTTGTTGAAAGGGTTAGGCTTTTCCCATTAAAGTGCCATACACCTTCGTCAAAAGTTAATTGTCCATAAAAGCTTTTTCCTGGACTATCAATTCTGTCTAACTGATCTATGGGTCTACTCTTATGTTAGTGCCATACTATCTTAATAATTAATAGGTATAGCATAAGTTCTGAAATTGATAAACTTAATGGTTTTGGCTATTGTAGGCCTTTTGTGTTACCACATAAATTTAGAATGGGTTTGTAAATTTAATTTGTTGGAATTTTGATAAAATTAAGTTGAATCTATAGGTTAATTTGAGGGAAATTATCATTTTAATAATATCAACTCTTTTAATCCATGAACATGGTATGTCCTATCAATTATTAGGTGTTCTTTGATTTCCCTGAGCAATGTCTTATAATTTTCAGTGTACAGATCTTGTACATCTCTTGTTAAATTTAAACCTATGTATTCTATTCTTTACGATGTTATTGTGAATAAAATTATTTTCTTAACTTTATTTTAAAATTTTTCACATGCTAGTATGCAGAAACTGATGTTTCTATATTATGACTTTGCCGAACTTATTAGTTCTCACAGTTGAGTGTGCGTGTCAATAGGTATTTCATGAATGGACTAACATAATATTATTAGTAATTACAAGAAACCTAGGAGCAAAGGTAAAGTTTTATGCCTATGCCTTAGCCTAAAAATATCAGGAAAATAGGCAAAATATTTTCATGGGGAAGAAGAGATAAAAAAGAAAAGTGTGGATGCAGCTCTACAATTTCACAAGGAAAAATGCCTATACTGCCATGTCTAGTTTTACTTTTTCCAGCACTACACCAAACAAGAACAACTTAGTGGAGCCACAAGGAGACAACAGTGCCTAGGCAAAGTTCAAGAGGAAAATGCCCAACTTCTCCAGAGCCATTTCTACCATGTGATTAGCAAGCTAAGTTCACAGAGTCATTCTGGCTTGTGTATTCCCTGGAATCCTTGTCTCCACACGTCTTAACTAGAGCCTGAAGTCTTTTGAGCCCAGTATTTAGGAAACTTCTGCTGAACACATTTTTTATGAATAATTTTCCTAGAGTATCTAACTGATTGCATGCTAATGTACCAAACTAAGAACTGAGAGAGAAACATATATTTTGCAGCAGCAAGTTGATGTGAAAACCAATAGTTTTGCACAGAAAAATATTTTACTAAATTAATAATGATGAAACAACCATAATGTATAAACTCAGGCATATATACTATGCCTCTTAGCTTAGAGAAAAAAGTGTACTTTTCTCTAGAAACAAATATTTCTCGAGAATTAGGCTATCAATTATTGAATCAGATCCCTACCGTTCATGGGCTACCAAGCATCATTAGTCTGCTTCACAGAATTACTGGATTCTATATCACTTATTTGGTCAGTTTGATACCTCTCCACTTCACAGATAAAGTCCTAGCTTTTTACTTTTAGCTAATTCAGCAAAAAAGTCCTAAAACTAGCTATGATATGATTTAATAATTTCAGAAAAGTCACATAGCGTAGCTGTGCCTATTTTTCCTAAGTGGAAGAATAAGCATATAACAAATTGCACTGTAATCGTGATTTTCACTAGTAATTGTACTGTAAAACAGTGATTTTCAACCTTTGGAGGCATTGTGATACACTGTCAACATGAATTTGATTTTGCAACCATACGCACTCCCTAAAGGGGTTTTGTTTGTATCTTAGAGTTTACAGCAATATCTTTATACATATTTTAAAAATCACATCACTGGAGAGGTACTATCCCTAAGGATCACCAGACTAAGTATATATAATAGTCAACAGAAGTGGTTCTGAGACTTTGGGAACAGAAGAATCATTTATTACTGTAGATTCCCACTTTTCTCAAATTCTGATTTAATGTAGGCATTCAGGAAATTCCAATACTGTAAAAATGCAACTAAATCTGTTAGTGACTCATTTCAACATTTATTCCTTCATTAAAATAGACAGCACAATTTTAAAGTCAAGTTCTAGGCACTTACCCAACAAAAGCAAATGTTTTCCCTTTGGCATCTGGATCCTTAACCGCATTAACAATTCCTTTGGATACATCGGCAACCTGTAAGAAATTGTAACGCAACTTTAACTAATTGTTGAAAAGTAAAGAGAGAAAAAGAGATAGAGGGAGAGCTGGGAATAAAGAGAGGGAGAGAAGGAGGAAGAAAGGAGAAAGGGGGGAGAAAGGAAAGCTGGTCTCACCAGTCACAACCAAGACAACGTGACAAAAGAATGACATTGCCTATTTGCAGAAAGCTTCCAAAAGAAAGCGCCTTCTGAAGAGCCCAAATAATCCCACATTAGAGGGCTCATTTGAGTATTCTCCCTAGCCAGGGCACATTTATTTCAGATAGCTTAGGCCTTGTTGATTTGCCTTTGTTTGCTATCTTGCCAACTCTCAACTCTGCTATTAAGCCATTGCATTAGACTGAACCACATGGAATCGCTGGCATTCCACCATTAGGATTTTCAACAATAGTAATTGTATATTGTTTAGACCCAATGCTTCCCAATCAGAGGTGATTTTGGCACCCAGGGGACATCGGACAACTGTCTGGAGATCTTTCATTTTTGTTTTTTTGAGTCGGAGTCTCACTCTGTTGCTCAGACTGGAGTGCAGCGGCCGCTCCCGGCCACCGCAGCCCCGACCTGCTGGGCTCCGGCGATCCTTCCGCCTCAGCCTTCCAAGTAGCTGGAACTACAGGCATGTGCTACCACGCCCGGCTAATTTTTTTATTTTAGTGTAGAGATGAGGTCTCGCCTGCCCAGGCAGGTCTCGAACCCGCGGGCTCAGGCAATCCACTCACCTCAGCCTCCCAAAGGCGTGGGATTACAGGCTGAGCCACCGAGCCCGGCTTCTGGAGACCTTTTTAGTTGTCACAACCAGGGGTGGTACAACTGGCATCCAGTGGCTAGGGGCCAGGAATGCTGTGAAGCATCCTACAGCAATCCCCATAAAAAAGAATTACCCAAGCCAAAACGTCCATGGTGCCACCACTGAGAACCCTGGTTCAGCCTAACATGGAATTCAACATGCTCTTTCACCTCCGGGGCCCTGGACATTTTGCTCTCTGTGCACACAACGTTCACCCCCAGCTCCCTTCATCTGACTTACCTTTAGTCACCTCTGAGGTCTCACCCCAAACGCTATTTCTTCTGAGAGGTCCAAGTCTGGATTGTGCCCTTCTGATTTAATTTCATAAAACCCTCTATTATAGCACTCAATACATTGCATCATATTTGCTTTATTTACTAGCCTCTGACTGAGAGCAATTTGAGAACATCAATGTGTATCTGTCTAGTTAACATCTCTATATCCCCAGTGATACGTACAGTGTGCCCAGCACATTACGGGTTCAATACAGTTTTCCTAAACAAGTGAAGACACCGAGAAGGCAATCAGCTGATGCAAGTTGACAGAAATGTCAAAGTTACAGGATTAGAGCCGGGCTTGGTTGCTCAGCCTGTAATCCCACACCTTTGGGAGGCTGAGGTGAGTGGATCGCCTGAGCCCGCGGGTTCCAGACCTGCCTGGACAACTTGGCGAGAACTCAGCTCTACAAAAAAAATCAAAAATTAGCCAGGCGTGATAGCGCGTGCCTGTAATTCCGGCTACTCGGAAGGCTGAGGCGGAAGGATCGCCGGAGCCCAGCAGGTCGAGGCTGCGGTGGCTGGAAGCGGCCACTGCACTCCAGTCTGGGTGACAGAGTGAGACGCCAACTCAAAAAAAAAAAAAAAAAAGTTACAAGATTGGGTTGAAGCCAGAAACCTGGCCACCCAAACCTGAATCCAGCTAAAGCCCTTTCTAAGCCCTTTCTTTGAGGGTACTCACATATACTGGTTGTTTCACCGTCCTCCAGCCCAAGGAGATAAGAGGCACACCAATAAACTGACGCATATCTGGCAGAGGTAAGAACGAGAACTATCCTGAGAAAGTTGAAGCTGCTATAAGACCCACCAGTTTCAGAGGAGTTAACACAATCATTCCACATACAGAAATAATATGATTATGTGGCTGACTTTGAATAAACAAACAATCTCACAAGGACTAGCTATTTGTTTTTCAGATAATGGAAAATAAAAAAGTCAAACATTTAAGGACACAAAGCATAAGGAAAAGAGGTTAAATGGCTTGGCAACAAGTCTGCTCTACGACGTTAAATATGGCCATGCCCAAGACTGGACTCTAACTGCATCCATTCGAAGGAAGAACACAAGACTCAACAGATAAGAAATAGAGCATCATTAACCCAGAAAAGACCTGGTAAAAATGGAAATTTAGTGTATGATGAACACAGTATAACAAACCTGTGGGAAATTAAAGTACTATTTAACATACAGTGCTGGGACAAGCATTCTACTGTTTAAAAACAAACTTTTTAAAAAGATAAGGGCTCACTTCATACTATAAACTAAAACAAGTTCAAATAGATTAACTATAAAGGTTAAAAATTCCTTTAATGCCCTTAACAGTAGAAATTATTTACAACAGCATCAAAAAGAATACAATACTTAGAAATAAAAAGGTGGCAGAAGACATGTACACTGAAAACTACAGAACACTGCTGAAAGAAGTTAAAGAAGACACAATTAAAGGCATCCCAAGTTCATGGATTGGAAATGTCAATATTGTTAAGATGTTGCTAGGGAGCTGGGCTCGGTGGCTCAGCCTGTCATCCCGCGCTTTGGGAGGCTGAAATGAATAGATTGCCTGAGCCCGCGGGTTCGAGACCCACCTGGGCAACTTGGCGAGACCTCATCTC